CCCCAGTCGTCCGGGCTCAGTCTGTGGGACTAGAGTTCTCTGTGCGGGCTGGTTACCCGGAGATTGCCCTGGCTTGTGAACTGCTCTCTGTCCCTGTGTTTGCGATTTATGGGGTCGAGTTGGTAACGGCCCGTAGGGCCATTGTGAAGTTTGCAGAGGAGGCGGCGTATCGCGATTTTCTCCGGCGATACGAGGGGCGGACACTGCCCTTGCCGGATGGTGCGGGCACTGTCACCCTCTCGGATAGAAGTGGTGCACTTACTTACATCAGTGTGCATGGGGCTCCCTTGGAGTTTCCAGAGGCTCTGCTACGGCGGTATTTCGGGCGGTTTGGCGCAGTTGTTAGTGTGAGAGTGAACGTGGTGTCTTCTAGTCCTCTTAAGGGTGTGAGGTCTAACATTCGCACCCTGGGCATGAGACTCCGGGCGGATATTCCGTCCTCTGTGCGCCTTATGGGGTACAACGTTCAGGTGTTTTACGCCCGTCAGCCGCGGACGTGTTATCGTTGTGGTCTTTTGGGCCATCAGGCTGCTGACTGTTCTGCGCCTCCTGTTGCACCAGTGAACCTCTTCAGTGAGGAGGATTTTCCGCCCCTTCCTGTGGGGGATGAATCGGTGGGTATGGACGTCTCTTCGGCTGAGGAGGTGCCCTCTGTAGCAGCTGTTGATCCGCCTGTTGCGCCCCCTGTTGTTGCCGCATCTCTTCCAGAGGTTGGGTCCTCGCCTAGTGCTCCAACTGGTGTCCCTGCGCCTCTTCCGCCTGCCGTTTGCTCGGACCCCTCGTCTTCCAGTTCTTCCTCTGCTGTGTCTGTCCCGGTCCCTGCACCCTCGCCGTCTGTCCCGGCTGTGCTGGGAGATGAGGTGGATCCGGAATTCCCTCCTGTGCCTGGCCTGGTGCCCCGTGTGGTTGAGGAGGCTGCCGTGCTGCGGCGTGCGTCGGTTCGCTCGGTTGGTGCTGCGCGGGTCGCTGAGTCTGCCTCCGGGTCTGATGATGTGCGGCCCGAGCCTAAGCGTTCCCGGCGTTCTTCTGCGTGGGCTGATGTTGGCGAATTCGACGAGTGTCGTCCTTCCGTTGACGGTGGGGTGGCTCCGGATGTGGTGCACACTACGGTGGTGGCGGAGGTACACTTGCCTGAGGATGCCGGTGCCGGCGTTTCGGCCTCCACTTCTGGTCCGGTGTCCGAGGGTCCTGCTTCAGGTGCGTTGCCTGCGTCGGATGGCTCCGGTTCTTCGTGGGCGGTGGTTCCCCCTGCTGTAGTTGGTGGTGAGCGGGGTAGCCTGGTGGTGATGTTGAGAAAGGATGCTCGCTCTGGATGTTCTGTGGCCCCTTCCTCGTTACCCGTTTCCTCGGCAGCGGTCTTGCCGCCTCTTCCGTTTCCTGCAGTCCCTTCCGTGTCTCCTGCGGTATCCGTGGAAGTGCTATCGTCTCAGCGTCCGACACCTGCTCCGATGGCGAAGGCGTGGCAGGCTCGGCGACCCTCGTCCGCTTCTCCGGTGTCGTCTGCTTCCTCGAAGGGCGTGGTTGGCGTTCCCCAGCCTCGTTATGCGACTTGCGTCAGTGACCTTAGGCATTGGCCGATGCCGCCAGATATAGATGTTCCCGAGTTTATGATACCCGCTCGAGCGCGGGGGATCAAAAATCCTACCGACCTTGAAGATCTTGTCTGGGAAGCTTACAAGTCGAAATATCCTTGTGAGCTGTTCCCGGAGAAGTACGTTTCTTCCGATGTTCCTCGCAAGTGATTTCTATGTATTTTGTGTTGCCTGTGGTGTGCATGGTTGTGGGGTGTGTATGTGAGTGGGTGGGGTGGGTATTGTTTCCCGGTTCCTGCGTGCTCCGGTGTGTTTTGTGGGTTTTTTTGTATGGCTCGTGGGGGGTGTGCGGTTCCTATGCGTTTGTGTGTTCGGTTATGGATGTCGTGTGCACTTGTTTGTCATATTGTGTGCCCTTCAGGCTGTTGGCGTGTGCTCTTTGTTATGTTGTGCCTTCCGTTTGTTATGGCGGATCTGTTTTCTTTATTGTTATTGTCCTTATTCTTGTATGTTTCTCGCCTCTGTATGTATTTGAGGTGTTAGCAGGCTTGTTTTGTGTGAGTTTTGTCCTGGGGTTTTCCCTTATGTTTGTATTACACTGTGTTACTAATTGTGTATTGTTTGTATCTGCATTTTTGTTTTGTGGTCAGCCCTTCTGGCTGGTCTTCTATTGATTTGTTCCTTTGTCCTTGTACATATGTGTGCTTTGTACTTTTGTTCTATGTTGTATTTGTTCTATGTTGTATTTGTTCTGTTTTTCTTGTACATTATACGCATGCTTGCATGTAAAAATAAAAATAAAAAAAAAAAAGTTACCCCAAGGTAAAAAGCAAGGAGGAAACCCCCCAACACTCCCAGGGCGGTCAATTACCGAGCAGCAAAAGACCAACAGAGGTAGTTCCCAAAATGCCTTGTGGAAGACAACCCCAGTCCCCAAGGGCTGGGGCACTCAGCACTCAGTACAGGGCACTCAGCACTCAGTACAGGGCACTCGGGGAAGGGAACCCTAAGCACATGCAGCCCGAGTACCTGTGAATATTAGATTATTACTCCCTGCTCACACGCCACTGTAAGAGCAGTACTGAACACAAGGCATAGCACAACAGAGAATCTGGAGCTGGAGCCACACGACTGAGCCTTATCACATCAGCCGAGAACTGGGGTGTGGATCGCTGGCATGAGGGGTCTGGGGCTCCCCCTTCCCCCTCCCGGGGGTGGGGGGGGGAGGTGAGCAGACAAGTGACACGGCACATGTGACATCATGCTCGTTTTCATTTGGGGAGTTGAGTCCACTCGTTAGTTTCAGTAGTGGTTTTAACCAGAAGAGGGGCTTGTTTTGAGGCGCTTGCCTTTCTGGGTGCCTGGCCTGGTCAATGGCAGACATAGAATGCTCCAAATCACATGTGCAGTTCTATAGGCCATTGCTCCTCGTGCCTCTCTGAGGGAGCCAGGTTCTGGCTCGTGGTCCCTGGTAGGCCTAAAACTTCATTCACACTGATGCCAAAATCTAATAATACTGTATACATATCTGCCTGGATAGATCTGTGGAGCCTCCGGGCTCTCACCTAGAAAATGACGTTTCATTACATTCAAAGCTGTTTTTTTATTGTTTTGCGTGATGGAACTAAAAAGGAGTTCCCAGAAACCTTGGCAAGATGAGAAGGCTCAACTGTATCTACACTCGAATTGAAACGGACAACCCTCGTAGCTGAAGGAAGGGATATCCCAAAGAAAAACCCCAACCCTAAACCTGCTACTGGGCCAGGGGCAGGGGGAAAAAGAGAAGGGCAAACTCCCTGCCCAAAGGAGAAAGAAGGAAAAGGAGGTATGGACAAAATCACCGCCTATTCCATGAGACAAGCATCATTTGCTAGCCCCGGACCTCAAACCGGGGACACAACCTTGACTGCTGCAATCCAGGAACTAAAGACACCAGCAGTTGCTGCCAGAAGCCCCTCCAAAATTGGCAGAGTAGAGCAACTTGAAGGGAGCATCCCCTTCATGACTCAGGGCCAAAGGTGTCACAGACCCAACAGGTAGCAGTGGAGGCAGACAAACTGAGCATTGCCACAAAGCATGGATGGTGCGCAACCCAGAAATTTGCTCGAAGTGAGAGCAGGGATGGTGGGTGGATCACAAGGACCATCAAACCCATAAGGGGTTTACCAGGGCTTGCAGGGTGAATGTTCCCTGCAGGTATGCCCAGGCACTGTTATCGCCATGCTGGTAACTCCTATATAATTGTATAGGTTTCCCTATTAACACCCAATACCACCAGAAAGAGCAAGAGAGAAACCAAAAAGGGGGAGCATCCATGCCTAGACACTAGGTAAACCTAATAAGTCAGGAATGGCACAAATAAACCCCCCTTAGAGGAATGAGGGCACAATGAAAAATAAAGGCCATAAAAGAACCGAATTACAAATTAAGTACCACTAACTCTCAAGATACCCGACCGTGGAACACAGAAGAATAGCAGACCAAACCAGGTATGGTAATCTGGAAGGCCTACCTCAGTGCGCCCCACCAGCATATAAACACACTCGACCCAAGGAGAGACTGACAGTCCAAGACAATAAGCTTACCTTCAGGGCGAGAGCCACCACAAGCATGGAGACCCCTTTAGGGAGTGAACCCTGACAACGCAAGGACAGCACTTAATGAGCGCACATGGAAGGTAGCCCTGGGCACATGCAGCTCCAAGAACACTAAACTCCTGGCTCACGTTGCACAACCATACACAGAAAAAGCCTCGAGGGCAAAACACCACTGAGCTGAAACCAAGACCAGAGCCAGAACAATGAGAGAGGAACTAGGCACATACATATCAGCATTAGAACTGAGGGTGGAGCAGTTGGCTGACACCTGACTGCCTCCCTCCTTCCCCCAAATGTTGAGGAAGGTGGAGGCAAATGAGCTAGCTCAAGTTTCATGAATTTTCAATTGTTTGTTTACATTGTTGTTCATTTGGTGGTTTTGAGGCTGTGGTCTATTTTGTTGCATTGACTTTCTGGGTGCCTTGCTTTGGTGGTGGCAAACAGAAATAAGTTGACAAATTTTTTTCATAACTGCCTTTGCTCCCTGCACCTGTGAGGTGGGTCAGGTTCTGTCAATACGAACTCCACAACTGATGGCACCTTGTAGTTTGGCACTATATCAGTATAGTAGCTTCAGGGAGCCACTAGGGGCTTTCCCCTGAAAAAAATAGGTTGTGGAAATAATAAGACTCAAATAGTAGTTATATCATCTAAGACTAGCCGGTGTGGAACTGTTCCAGGTCTAAAACAGACTTACTTGTTGATCCACACCTTAATCTCTGAACCATTTAGGTTTAAGGTGTTCCACTCAATACAACAATTTAGTGATGTTTGCAATGCTGGACAGTTCTTAGAATTATGATACTGAGGATATAACAGTTAATGTTTCTTTTTTCTCCTGTGCAGGAACGCAATGTGGGAGTGTTATTCTGCTACGAGGCCTATGATGTAGTAGTTCTCAAGCAGCTCCGGGAATTTACTAACAGGAAAATTGTTTCTGTAGAGAAAGAAAAGCGTCCGGATAAAGAAGCAGTTGATTACGAAGGAAGTAAGAAACTTAACAACTTTTGTATAACTTTTCTAACTGGCTGCTAACAAGACAGAAAAAACATTATGTTCATGAGTTTTTATTCATTTTTTGGTGAAAATTTAAAAAAAAATCTGATATTACTGCTAATTCCCCTCCTGTTTAAATTTGTATATTAATGTGAAATAACTGGTGTCCCATAATTTTCTGTTCTCGTAAGTTTCCAATTGTCTACATTCATCTACAATCTGGATTAATTAAAATTCCATAATGCCCATTGAATCTTTGCACACAAGTGCATTCAAATCATTAATTTGATTTTTAATACTGCTTTTGTTATTGTATTTTCTGTGAGGAAAATTGTCAGCTCTCTGGAGCTATCACACTGAATAAATGCCGTACTACTAGGTGTCATCAGTTGCAGAGTTCTGTTGGCCTTCTGTGGACTATGAGAAAAAAGTCCACTACGGGCTCACCATAGCCCGTGCTACTTGGAACTTTTTGTTCCAAGGAACGAATCTTATACAACAAAACAACTATGAGCCAGATCCTGCCCCCCCCCCCAGAGAGGAGCAGGGAGCAATGGCCTGTGAACACTTTAAATAAATGTAAAGTTTATCATCTTTTCCACCATCCAAGGGAAAGCTCCTAGCAAGATAAGCAAATCAAAACAGACTACCGCATGGTTAAAACGAAACCGTAGCCTAAAATTTCCCAAACGAACTCCCCCACAATGAAAACAAAATTTTGTAAAACTAGCCCCCCCCCCTAGTCTTCACTAGTCTGCTGCCCCCCCCCCCCCCTTCTTCACTAGTCTGCCCCCCCCCTTCTTCACTAGTCTGCCCCCCCCCCCTTCTTCACTAGTCTGCCCCCCCCCACTAGTCTGCCCCCCTCCCCCTTCTTCACTAGTCTGCCCCCACCCACCTGCCTGGGTCAGCCAGGTCGTGCAGAGTCTAGTTCTATACTGATGTCCGGGCCTGGTAGTCACTTTGCTCTGGCATCCCGTTTTCTTTGGTGTTTTTGCTTTTGAGGCGGTGTGTTCCTATAAGGATGTGTGCATGAGCCAGGAGTTTAGTGTACTGGAACTGCATGTGCTCAGGGTTTCCTTCCCTGTGCGCTCTGTAAGTACTAGCCTTGCATGGTGAAGGTTATCTTTCCCTGGGGGCATTCAGTCAACACTCCTTTCAGGGGGGCTTCCTCACTTGTGGTGGTCCTCGCCCTTAAGGTAAACCTTTAATCTGTGTTATTAAATAAATTAAATATATTAAAGCCTTTAATAAGTAAATCTGTGACTTTGTTTTTCCTTGGTTCGGGAGTGTTTTGGTTGGTGGGGAGCATTGTGGTCTGTGTGACCAGTTATTTTGTTATTTTGTTTTCTGCCCGAGCATTGTGGTCTGTGTGACCAGTTATCTTAAAGCCAACTAACTTTGTAAAATCTCTTTATGTATGTACCTTTGCCTAAATAAAAATTATTATTATTATTATTATTATTATTATTATTATTATTATTATAAAACAAGTTGTGCCGAAGCTTCTCCCAGGCTACTCATACTCCTACTAGGGGGGGGGGCGGGGTATTTTCATACTCATGCATGGTATTTTCATGCAGGAGTGGGATATTTCATACCTGTACGTTTTTAGACTTGGGTTCGACTCCCTCTCAATTTTGCTTTCGGGGTTACTTTGGGTTTCCCTGGGGGTAGGCATCTTTCTGGAGGTTTCTGTCCTCATGTCTTTCCCTTTGGAGGAGCATGAGGTTCTGTTGTGTGGCCCTATAAAAATAATGTGTTGGGAATTGCAAGTCACTCTGTTACTCACATGTGTCTAAGAGTCGTACAGTACCTGTCTATTGATAGGTTAACCTTAATATTTTTGTGATTGCATTATGGCTATTTGTCCAAACATACAGTACTAAATTTATTTATAATTATTGATGGAAGATTCACCCAGTCAATTTCTGATGTTAAGTATTCTTGAAGCGTTTAGTGGTGTATTATTCCATCTGTCTTGCAGTCAAAGATGCTCTGAATAAAGTGGTTTTTAGCTTGACATATTTGACGAAAGCTCAATTTGTTGTAATCTACAGGCTGGGAAGATGTACACCAAAGGACAGATGGTGTACCCAGACAAGAGGAAGGGTTTGGTGTATCTGTACCAAGCAGATGATTCCCTTATGCATATCTGTTGGAAGGACCGTGGCACTGGAACAGTTGAAGAGGTAGGACATTTACATCAATTAAAAGGCAAGGCAGTTTTATCTTCAGAATATAAATGTTTGGTAACCATTGTAACCATAGTCAAGCAAAAGTATTGTAGGTGGCTGTCAAACTGCTGAAATAATGCATGGATTTTGATGGACAATCTTATATTAAAAGTGATACATTTGGTAGATCAGTATAAAGTCTACAGGGACAAATCTGACCCAAATTTTATTTGCCAAGCACTTGCATGTATAGATTGTCAAATGCTTAATTATTTATTTTTTTAATTGAAATGTGGCTTGAAAGCATAAATGTTAAAGTAAGCTGTTATTTTTCAGGATCTGATTATTTTCCCTGATGACTGTGAATATAAGCGTGTGTCACAGTGCACCACTGGTACAGTTTATGTACTCAAGTTTAAATCGTCAAGCAGACGACTCTTCTTTTGGATGCAGGTAAAAAAAAAATAGTGTACTTGTATATGATATTGAATTTGTGGTTGTTGATAAATTGTTATAGAAGGGCAAAATGTATTGGCAAGTAAAGACTAGTAGTTTTAAAGTAGAAATTTTAAGTTAAGTACTGTAGTAGGTGTTTACATTTACAGCAAATAACTCGATATAAATGACATGTGGCACATCATGAACTTCCACAATATTGGCGTACTTTAAGGTTTTGCCTCCATAGGTGGTAAGATTGCTGAACTAACCAATGGTAATTTGTCTAATGTGCCGAGGGCTAGATGGTGCATTGTGAATTGGTGTTTACAATAATGTGCTGGAAGGTAATGCACCATCTATAGCAGATAATAAAACATATATACAGTATAGATAGACCATTTTGGTAATCATACCCAAGCAGGTTGTATTATAAATGCAACACTTTTTTTTTTTTTTTACTTTAGGAGCCCAAGACGGACAAGGATGATGAGCAGTCTCGCAAAGTGAATGAACTACTCAATAATCCACCAGCTCCAGGGTCACAGCGCCCATCTGGTTCAACTGCAAATCCTGCTCTGGGATCGGAAATTACCAATTTAAGGGATTCTGATATCCAGAATCTGTTTGGGAATATTTCGCAACAACAGCTGATGCAGATCTTGGGAAGTGGAATGTCCAGTTTGGCAACACTGCTTGGTCCAGGGTTAGTTTATTATATAAATATGTATTGAGACAACCTTGTATAAATATTTCTTTAAATAGTTTATTAGCTAGTTTGACAAGATTTTAACCAGTAGTAGTAGTGAACTTAACAAGAGTATTGAAAGAAATTTGGCATGTCATTTTAGTGTAGAAAAGTATAAATATTGTAAAACTAAACACAAATGTTGCAGAAATGCTTTCAGAAAGCAAGTAATTTGAGATTTGGGTAGCATTTTCTATTAAGCGTACAGTATTTATGTTGTAATTTGAAATGCTTCGTTTGATTGGTTGAGAACAAGGGTTTGGACTGTCAAGTTTTGGTATAGAATTTGCCGAGTACTATAGAGCTGTGTTCATAATGGCAGACATGTTAAAGTAAATAGTGTTGTTTAAATAATGTGTTTGGATATATGTTTTCAAATATGTATTTTGTCTGTTGTACTGGTACTTGTACTTTTGATCCTCCCCCTTGTTTTATTTTCATGGAAAAACATCATAAATGTTGAACCCAACTTGAGGATTATTTATAGTTGTTAAATCATAATAATTGGTTGGCATTTGTATTTTCATATATTTGCAGTAGGTCTGGCAGTGGTGGGGGTCGAAGCGGTAGTGGAAGTAGCAGCTCGACTTCTGCCACAACAGCAGCTTCCACCACTCCAGCTGCTACCACCACCCCGACACCTGCACCTACCCCTGCTCAAGGTATAGTAGAACATACAGATGTAAATGTGTTTGTAGACACTATATAGAAATTAGTCTTAAACTTGAAACTCGCCTCAGCTCGAATCCTGTTCTAAACGTTGGTACAGCACTGAGAACAGCGATGGTCTGGCATCTTTCAGGGGGTCAGCATTATATTACTGATAAGTGGTTGGGCCCCCATTCCCTCGCATGTCTTTGTATCCCAGTTCTTGTGCATTAGTTATCCCCACTGTGTGCTTTACAATATATAGTTATAGTGACTTGGTGTGTCTTCGTATTAATGAGCATATCTTACTGTTGTAAGCAAGTAGAAACATTTAGTGAACATGACGTATACAGTGGATAACAACTTGCAAGATTTTTGTAATGTTTAGGTTTTCATGTCTCTTTGGTTTAATATTGTATACTGTTGTTTATCTATAGAAAACCCTTTGGAATTTGATCACCAAGAGACCGAAAACTTTGAGTCTGGTTACACATACCTGAACACTTGAAAAAAAATTTACTTTACAAGTAAAATGGGTGAAGGCACATATGTAATGACATTTTATTACACAATATTTGTATTTTAATAGATACAGTATTGTATTCTGTAGTTTTTGTTATACAATATTTTATATTTTAATCCTCAAAGTTTTCATACAATAATCTCAAATGCCAGTTGTATTGAATTTTAACCTAAAATGCCAAAGAATACAGGCAAAATGTATGGTTACTAACATTGCAGTTGAGGAAAGTAGCTCAACAGCTACTATTGTTTATGAGTAGGGCCTTCCTCGGTGAGTACCCAAGCCTGGACCAGGGCTCACCCGGACACTTGCAGACTGTCATCTGCATAGTGACAATGTAAATATAATCTTATAATAAACAAATAAGTGACCTTCCTTGAGGTTATCTTGAGATAATTTCGGGGCTTTAGTGTCCCCTCGGCCCGGTCCTCGCCCAGGCCTCCACCCCCAGGAAGCAGCCCGTGACAGGTGACTAACACCCAGGTACCTATTTTACTGGTAGGTAACAGGGGCATATGGTGAAAGAAACTCTGCTGTTTCTCGCCGGCGCCTGGGATCGAACCCGGGACCACAGGATCACAAGTCCAGTGTGGTGTCCGCTCGGCCGACCGGCTCCCATGCAGACGCTCATCAAAATAGATACACTGCAAGTCTTCGTGTAGATAAAATTAATTTAAAAAAGGAAGCCAAAGAAGAATGTCATTGTGGAATAGCTGAAGGTTTGTTTAGAATATTTGCAATTGTTGGGTAAATGCCACCAAGGGACAGAGTCTTTCATTAGGGGATTATTATTGTTGTTGAGAAAAGTTAGTTATTTATGTATATAATTTTTCAGATTCTGCTAGAGGTGGGAGCAATAGCCGGGAAAGTAATAGTACCACTCCTGGCAGTGGCAGTGTTGTGCCGATTCAGTTGTCAGATTTACAGAATATCCTTTCTGGGATCTCTGTTCCACCGGATGTGTCAGGTTCACCCAGGGTTGCAGGTAAGACAAGTTGCTAGTACTTGTATGAGGGGTGTTTGGTGAGAAATGACGCAAGGTCTTCAGTTTTGAAAGGAAATTAATTCCTAGCATCAAGGTTCTTTAAGGAGATGGTTTGTGAACTGGGTAGGGTCACTAGGTATATTAGGAAAGTAATGTTGTGAATTTATCATAAAATTAGAAGTACATTAAAGTGGAAAGATAGGTTGCAAGAAGAACATTGTGATTTTTATACCAGTAGGGCATAGGTCTGGCTCAGATACTGTAGGCCAAAAGATATTGTTTTTGAAGTATTGGCTAAAGTTTTATCACACATATTGTAACAAGGTTAAGGGCAAAATTGAGGGGGATGGGAAATTGACAACATTCTGTACAGTATTATCTTTCGTGCTGTACCTTATATTTTCAGTCTTTTCCACACAAGTAATCTTCAACTATCATTGTAGAAAAGCATTTGAAAGATGTATCCCCAATATTGTTTTAAAGTTCTGTCCTGTTATTTTGTAAATAGTTTTAAGTTATAATTTTTATAGACATTACCTGGTATGCTTAAGAAGGAAATTATCACTTGCCGCTTTTCCTTATCTTTAAAAGAGGTGTCGTGCCCTTTTACAGAAGGTTTTAGTGAGTAATACATATCATAGGCGGTCACACATTTAATTGATACCCATTGTAAGAATTTAGTATTATTCATTACCACTCCGATAAATGTACCATAAATATTGATTGTTAGTTGTATTTGTAAATCTTTGTTTTTCCAAAAGTGGATCTGAGTTCGGCCATGACTGCAGAAGCTCTTCAGCCGATCTTGACCAATGAAGATTTTGTGAATCAACTTCGTCCTTATCTTCCTGCAACGTCTGATGAGTTACCTCCTACTGAACAACTCCGAGGAACAGTCACTTCTCCTCAGTTCCAGCAGGTACAATATGCTTGTCTGGGTTTAATATGTAGTACGTATATTAATTTAATACAGACACCTCGGTTTATGAATGCCCCTCTTTACGAAATTTTTTGGTTACGAGCCCAATTTCTTTGTGAAATCTGAATCGGATAACAAACTTTGCCTCGGGTAAGGAAGTTTGTTGGTACGCGTATGGCCGACCTAGCGGGTGGTGGCACAGCCACTGCGCCTCGGTTTACCGGTGCCATCATGATGCTTGAATTCTTTGTAAAGAATTTCAGTATTTGTTGGGTTTTGGGGTTTTGAACATAAATTGTTATTATATATCTTGCCATGGGTACCAAGAAAGTCTGTGGTAAGGTTCAACCTAAGAAAATAGTTGAGTTGAGACAGTAGAGGATGTCCCTTCCTCATTAAGAAAATGTGTGATGTATGGGAAGAACTGCAAAGTTTTTATTGAAAAAAACTTGCTCAGCTAAAGCTGTAACCGGCCATTGCATTGACCTTTTAAATGATAATGTGATGTCTGTACATACAGACAAGTGTTAAAATATTGGTAAAAGCAAGCTGACATGGTCAACAAAGATAACCTGGTGGTGAACATACACAGGTCCATGCATGTAAGTTTTTGCAAGGTGCCAAGAATACAGTGGTTTTGTAATTTGATATCTAAGGGTGCTGAGGTGAAATAATTAACAGGTTGACTTGTACAATTCATTGGTCTAGAGTTGACGTACATGTTAGTGACATAAGGATGTGTGGAATGTTATTTACATTTGCAAATATTGTATGATTTTGATGTATACCTGAAAATGGGTAATAACTACAGAATGTTAACTAAAATTTAATAAATATTTTATCCAAAAGGGCTAAATGTTGTGTTATTGAAGGGAGTCATCCAATTTTTAAAGAGTTTGATCATTCATTTTTCCCATGTTTTGGCCAACTTCACTGTGAAATTGATGTGTTACCATTTGGTATGATGGACAACTAGTAGGAGAAGCGGTGTATAGAGATTGAGAACCAATCTATTGATGGAAACATTTATAGTATTTATGAGGATGCAGCTCTTAAGAGTTTGTCAAAGGTGGGACCATGAGTGAATGAGGCTATTTGACTTTCCCATGGGTGAAAATTGTAGTTTTAACACAATATTATCTGTGATATCTTAAGCTTGTTCCATTTAACACTTTAGGAGATAATGTTTCCGAATACAATTATCGCACTGAGGTCTACTGAATGATGATCAGAATTAGGAAATACTTATTTGTGGAGATTTATGTATATTAATAATCACAATATGCAATTTCATATGAAACATTTTTTTGAGGGATCCATGATAGGCAGGTTCAAAGTTGGAAGGTATCACTCAAAAGGTCATTATTGTTCATATAAAAGTAAATACAATATGTACTGTATTTAAGTTGTTAATGGTATTTTCAGGCTGTGAGCTTGTTCAGCAGTGCCCTTCAGTCTGGGCAGTTAGGCCCTCTCATTAACCAGTTTGGTCTTGGAGAGGATGCTGTTTTGGCTGCCTCGTCATGTGATATGGAAGCATTTATTAAGGTTGGTTGCTTACATTGTGTTCACTATCCATTGGCCAATACCTCTTACTGTTCCTCTAAATATGTATATAATGTCTTGAGAAAATATAAGTAGAACAATATTTTATTTTGGGCTGGGACATTTACAAAGGTGTCTTTGGAAGCAAATGTTGTTATAAGCATTTTAATTGTTTAAAATATAATGGATAGATTTGAGTCATTAGTATGAAAACTTTATATGGGAGACGAGTTTTAATGAAAATTAACAGTTTAAAATGAAAACTGTGAAGGTGGATTTTCTGTTGGGGGAGGGAGGGGGGACATTTGTTGTTAAACCTAAAGCACTAGTATTCTTGGATTTAGTAGTTGTCACCACGTTGGGTAGTAATGTAGAGCGGACACACGTAGTCAGTACGGCTCGCAGGAATTGTATGTGCTAGTTTTGTTGAAAAGTTACGATTTTATTTGTCTGAACGTGTATATAGATACCCATGTCCGTCTTTGCATGTCTCGGTATTCACCGAGTCTATATAACCAGGTCTGTGAGTCGTCATCGGTCCGTGAGGAGTGGCTCGGTGCCGCTATACTCCTTATTCGGAAACCGGGGTCTCTTGGGACCCCCCCCCCCCCTCATCCCCCTAAGAATTTCTGCTCTATTGCCCTCACAAGTTGTCTGCAAACTCTTTGAACGAATAGTGAGTGTTCATCTGGTGTGGTTCTTGAAAGAATTTCACCACCTTTCCCCCTTCTCAAATTGGTTTTCGCAAGTGCTGCAGCACGACTTATGTCCTGGTGAAATTGAAGTCTATATTTGTACTGCTTTTGCTGCGAAGACCTCTGTTGTTGCTGTCCTTTCCTTGATACCATATTGTTTCCCAACTTCGTTCTTTTGGTCTTGGTGGTAATCTCCCTCTCTTCTTCCAAAGCTTCCTCTTTCTCGTCGTTCCTTTAGAGTGAGGTTTGGTGCAACTCTCTCTGCCTCTTTGTGGCAATACGAAGGTGTATCCCAAAGTAAAGTAGTGTTCTGAGCACTACTCTTTTTCTTGTTACCCTTAATGGTCTTCTTTCCTCTCTTCCTTCTGGCGTCTTCATCTCTATGTTGATGATCTTACCCTGTGCTGTCAATGTTATGATTCACCCTCCTTCACTGGCGGCTTCAAGTTGTGATTGATGACATGTCGTCTTTGGGCACCAATCATGGCTTTAAGTTTTCTGCAACTAAGACTTGTGCTATGACTTTTACTTGGAAGTGTGTCGTTCTTCGTCCTTCTTTGTCGCTTTATGGTCATTCCCTTGTGTGCCAAGATTCCGCTAAGGTTTTTTGGTTAATTTTTGACACTCGTTTGTCTTGGTCACCCCATATCTCTTACCTCCGAGTTAAATGCTCTAAGGCCCTTAACCTACTTAAGGTTTTGTCCCATACTTCTTGCGGAGCGGATAGGCGCACGTTCCTCTTTACATTCCTCTCTCGTACTGTGTAAACTCGATTATGGTTGCCCTGCTTGCTACTTGTCTGCTTCTCCTCATACTCTTTGCCGTCTTGATGCTTTGCACCATACTGAGTTGCGCCTTGGCTTTGGTGCCTTTCGTTCGACTCCTACCCTCGGCTTGTATGTTGACACTGGCTTCCTATCTCTCCAGGACCGCTGCAATTGCTACTGTGTTCGCTACCTTGCGCAGTCCTTATAATACCCTCACTGTTGCCTATGTCGTGCTTTGACTTTTACTCCTTCTGTAGCTCCTGTTCCCCTTCACCCACCTCGGTCTTTCTGGTCGGTTGTCTCGCCTGCAAAATTCTCTTTCGGTTAGTATTACCAATATTTCTCCTAGTATTCCATCCTTGCCCTCCTGTGGAGGGTTTCCCTTGCTAAATTTTGTAAATCCCTGAGCCACATTACTAAAACTTTTACCCCTCCTACAGTTCTGAAATGCCCTTTCCTTGAACACTTTTCTTCACACTCCCGCTCCATTTCCATCCTCACTGATGGGTCTAAGTTTGCAGACGGTGTAGGCCATCACATAACTGTTATTTCCTGACCACACTTATATATGTGTCGCCTGCCTCTGGAGACTTGGCATCTTCACGGCAGAACTTTATGCCATTCTCTATGCTCTGCTTTCCGACTGTCCCTTGCAGTCAGTTGTCCCTCGATAGAATTGTTGGTGAATCGGATACATTTGATATCGTTCGCCTTGTGCGTTTCTGTTCTCATATTGGCATCGTTGGTGATATTTAGCGCCCTCTGATTATTCCGCACATTTGATGGTGCTACATAGCCTTCCCGGTTTGGTGCCTTCTTTTGATAATTTATTGATAATTACTTACTCTATATAGATGCACATCAAAATGTAGGTTGTTTACCTGATATCATAGGTTACTGTGATATCACTTCCCAGGATGTTAATTGAGGTCATGGTGACCTGACCACATGCTGCTAGGATATTTCCAGGTGTTTGGTTAGTAGCGACAAACTAAATGGTGGCGTATCGCCCACACTATAAAATAGAATACAGTAATAAGATTTTGTCGTCTGATCACATAACTAGACATTTGATACTTTGCCTCATAGTTGTGAATTGCCAATATGGATACATACTGACAGTAAAATATTTTTGATAATAAACGGAACAGATTTTTTGAATGTTTAATTAATGACCAAGTGTTTGGAGCAGTATCCCTAGCTTTAAAAGTAGATTTACAAACCAATAGGATTTTGATAGTGTTTAGTTGTCTATTTAGTGTAGTTCATCGCCTGTAAATACAACTAGGACAGTAGAGCATACATGATTAGTATTGTATTTGGACTGTCAATAAAAGTCATGGTACTATTTAATCGATCATTCATAGATTTTATTTCTTACTTTCAGGCCTTGGGAAAGAAGAAAGGTAAAGAGGAAGGCAGTAAGAAGGAAGAAGAGAAGGAGGTTTCTGATAAAACCAAGGATCAAGATAAGGATGATGATGATGCCATGTCTGTTGACTAAGTGGTGTCCATGGATATGTTTGCCTTCAATTTTATATCTTGTTTTACCATTGGATACTTATGCATAGATTTGTAAAGGGACCTATGACCTCAATGTGGAATTGCATGTCAAAGGTATTCCTTTAATATTTATCAGTTAGGAGATAGTGATGATATGTGCCATTATTACAGGAGTGTACTGTCAGCATCACATTTTCAATATTGTATTAGTTGATTTGTAATGTACAAGTTGCGATTTTTTAATGTAGTTTTGATGTCTGAAACAGCAGACTAATAGAACTCATTAAATAATATACGCAAACATAGTAGTGTTAATAACCTTTAGTAATCTTCAACATGTTGTGTGCACACAACTGTGTTTGACACAGTAATAAGTGTATGGTTTGTTACTTGGAGTTACGACCAAGATTGTAATACGTAGTTTTATGTTTTGTATATTACATAGACTGTAGGCATTGATTTGTAGTGAAATCTCGTGGCATATGGTTCAGTAAATATTTTTAAATAAATATACATAAATAAAATATAAAATAAAATATTAGATTATATCTAGATCTACATTATCTATATATTTTAGATGCATATCTAGGATGCATCTAGATTATCCGATATACATATCCAGATTACATTATCAATATATATAATCTAGAATAAATATCGTAGATAAATATATAAAATAATTATCCTTATCTTAGGATATGTAGCATATTCTAATAATGTAAGGTATTTATTATAGGTATATAGTTAGGATAATTATTGTAGATATAGGTAATGATCCTAGCTGTATACGTGTGTGTGTATATATATCTGAAAACTCCACCCGAGAAGTGACTCGAACCCCATACCAGTTGCGTTGCTCCTGGCAGTATGTACAGGATGCCTTAATGCACTTGACCATCACGACCGTACATAAGGAAGTGATAGCCGAAGCTATTTGAACCACTTCCCCACCGGCACTCTGATGGTAATCTTGGGCATATGATTTTATCAAATCGCCTCATTCTTTGGGGCACAGGTGAGGAACACAAATGCTAACAAGCGTGAATGGTCCCCAGGACTATATGCAAGTGAAAAATCGATTGCATATAGTCCTGACCTGACATTGGGAAGAGGGTCCTGGCTGGACTGTACCTCGTGACTGTTCGTGGGGCATGTGTCCCTTTGGGTCGGCGGCTGGAGGCCGTTGCCGTTGTGTGGACTTTTAAGTTGAGATGTGAGCACCAAGCGTGTTGCATGTTGTGGAATTGTGCGTATTTTGCTATGTGAAGAGAACAGAGAACCCAAGCAAAGTGGCAGAAGTTAGGTTCAGGTAACGTACTTTTCCCCTAGCAAAATTAATCATTATTGTAGATTAATAAATGATATTGAATAAAATATAGAAAATTTAAGGCAAAAATGTAGAATATTGAATAATATAATCAATATATTTTAATAATATTGATCCATTTTAATAATCAATAATCTTGGGCAATATTGAATATTGACGATAGAATAATGATATTATTGAATAATAATGAATAATAATCGATATTAATGAATAATATTAATATTCAATAATATTGTATACTATTGAATAATATTGAATAATATTAAGAATATCAATATTGAACAATATTATTGAAGAGTACACTAGGCAATACTAGGCGTTGGTGAGCCACAGCAACCTTCCTTGTCCCCCAATCTTCCCCACCATTCCTCCTCGGCCTCCCAACCATTCCCCACTCCCTCGTCCGATGCGTTCCCAAATGGTGTGCTCTTCCCATCAGTGAAATATAAGAATTTCAGTGAAAAAGTCATGAAAATATGGGAAAACAAATATATTCATGAAATGATCGGTATGGTAAACAACACAGCTCAATTCCAAGGCAAATGACACCAAATAATGACATCCAAATGGATATAAATCAAAATGTATGAAAAATCAAATTATTGCAATCAGAAACATTTAAATGTAATGTTAACATATTTAGTATAACATGTGTTGCTTTGACATGGAACAGATGGTGGTTTGAAGAAAAGCATACTTTTACCTGTCACAGGTGTGGCATCTATATAGTAGGTATATAAAAAAGACGCGTCTATTGGAAGGCAACGTTGTGTCAAAAATCAAGGCAATCGGTAAAGAAGTTAAGTTGAATAGCTGTTATGCACAAACGAACATTTCCATTTATATAGAGTGAAGAATAATATGAAATATTGAAGAAAATAGTAGGAATTGTCATAGTATTGTAGGTAATTTCTAGTAGAATGTTTAAGGGAATCCTAGTTGTATTTTTAGTGAGATTCCTAGTATGATTTGTAGTATGATTCCTAATAGTTTGTCTAGTATGAATTGTAGTCGGATTGCTAGTATGATTTATAGAGATTTGTAGTAGGATTTTTAGGAGGATTTGTACTAGGAATTCAAGTACAATTTGTAGATGATTTTTAGTTGAATTTGTAGGGGTTTCGTAGTAGGATTACTTGTAGGATTTATAGTAGGAATTGTAGTAACATTTATAGGTGATTTTTTAGTAGAATTTTTAGGGGAATCCTAGTAGGATTTTGTTATGGTGATTTCTCGGGTAATTTCTAATAGTATTTTTAGGGGGATTTGTTTGGGAATTTTTAGTAGGATGTATAGGGGAATTTGTAGTAGAAAAATCATCCACGGTACTTGTATGTACAATACAGTACAGTGCATTGTATTGTACTTCACTTTAATGTATTGTACTGTACTGGTCTGCACTATGCTGTACTATACTGTTGTGTAATGTACTGCACCCTGTACTGTAGCCTCTACTGCACTGTCCTATACTGTATTGTACTAGACTCTACTGAACGGTACTGTATTGTAGGGTAGTGTACTATAATGTTCTGTACTGTATTGTAGCGTGCCCTGTACCCTGTATTGTACCCTATATTTGACGGTACTGTATGTAATCTTACGTAGCTTACCCTAGCCTAGTCGAGTCTAGCGTAGGTTGCTTAGCTTAGCTTAACATAGCATAATATAGTGTCATTCTCTAAGAAACGACTCACAAGAGTTCAAATGATCAAAGTGTAACGCACAAGATCTTTATAATTCCAAATGACTGAAGACTTTGCATAAATGTGTACAACACAAATTGATTACGTGTTAAATAATCGTTATTACTAGTTGCAGTGTGGATGTATGTCTTAAAGAACGTATATAAATATACATTGGTGTGGTTTAGAGAGGAAATTGAATGGTTTGAAAGGTACAAGATTGTAAATACTATGGTATGTATTCTCACAAACACAATTAGTGATACTAGCGTCAGTTGCCATAGACCGCCATTGCACCAATCTGTTCTCTCCCCATTGTGACATTGAAGAAACAGTTATTTAAGTAGAACAAAATTATAATGGTGATGCCGTTGGTACATTTGAAAGGCAAGTAACGAACTGTGAGTGTACGGTAGTGTACTTTTGTGTCCTATAGTGTAGTGCCTGTACTGCAGTGTATAGTACGGTACTTTTGTACTGTACTGTAGAGTACTCTGTATGATACGTGTAGTGACTACCGTACTGTACGTAATGTATTATACTGTATTGCGCTGCATTATACTGTTTTATTGTGTACGATATTGTACAGTACCATACTGTATTGTACGGTACTAGTGTAGTGGAATGTACTGTACGGTACTGTACTATAGTGTACTGTACTTACAGCTTGAATAAGTATAATTATTTATTCATTATAATAATACTTATTATTAAGTAATCAAAAGTAATAATTTGTGAGTGTAAAGTCAAACATTGTTTCTCATACATATGGTATATGTATGTTTCTCATACATTGGGTATATATATATTTAGTTTTCATAAATAATTGTCATGAATTACTAGATTATCCAATTAGGTGGAGCCGACCAATGAGAGTAGAGGTTGCGAGAATGTGACGTCAATTGAAAAATCGAAACGTGATTGGCTGTTGAGTCGACTTGGTGGGTGAGGCTCGACGGAACGTTATTTTGACCCCAGTATTGGCATAGTTGTGGTGTACAAGTTAGTGTTAGGGCGTGATGTTACTCTGAGCTGGTACCCCGTTACCCTTTGGGGTCGCTAGGGCTGACAGATCCCCTAGCTTACACTCATATTGTACACCCGCAAAACGCCAATACATAGGGTCAAAAATATCAAATATCTATGTTACAGCTGCCGTATATACCCTCTTGGGGGATATATATATAGGCAGTTAATTTTAGTCCTGATCCCTAATCAGTACTAAAAAATTTATAAATATGTATTTAATTGTACTGTTATTATTTTCAGGGCTATTAAGTGAATGAGGTAATGGTGGGAAGAAGAGGCATCGCTTGAAAGGAGCCTACTGGTGATGTAGGAATGTGCAGGAGACTAACGTTGTGATGGGACTAGTGGTGGACCGATGAATGAAGTCTTAGACGATGCCGAGCAGAAGGTGGTTGCAGATGTCGAGGTTTGGCTTGATGTGCTAGTTGAGTTAGTAGATATGAGTTTAAATCAGTTCTTGAATACCTAGTTAAAGTTAGAGGCATGGTAATATTTTATTAGGATGCCGCACGAAGGCGTTAAATCTCGTTCAGGGGTTCTTTAGTGTTTTAAAATTGAAACTGGACGACCACATAAGTTCAGTCTCACTACATATTTATTAATAGTATTAGGCTGCTCAGAGGGTGTAAACCCACAAGTAACAGCTGGAAAAGCTGTTTACTATCCATGTTGTATGTGTGGCTTTAAAATATGCATTTGAAATGAGCAGCTACATCAAATTAACTTCTTTCATTGCAACCTGCACCTACTGAAAGTGTCTGGTATAGGCATGATTGAATACTTTATATTTGTAGCGTCAGGTAACTGTTGCCTTGTTGCCGGTAATACCGGACCGATTGGCAGGACCCCTGGGCTGTCTGGAGGTTGAACAGTGAGACGCTTCAACTTCATTATTCGTGAACACTTGGCAGTAAGTGTCCGAGTAGTCTTGTAGAATTTTCGTGGGGATAGGTTGTAGGTCTTGCGACTTTACTACAGTGTAAAGGTGATTGTTTCTTTTGTGACTGGCGCCTCACCGTGACATTGAAACAGAGTAGTTAAGTTAATTCTGGAATTTGAATGTGACAGGAAGGTAGTTTGGCAAGAATTACTGTTCACGTTGTGAAAGATTTATTAATGAAGTTGACAAAATAGTTAGTGTTGGTGGTAGTTTTGGATATAATAATTTCCAAATTATCAACGATGAGGTTAATTTAGTTAACATGCGACACTAAATTACATGTTGCAGGAAGAAGTGGATGCAATAACACAAAGTAATAACATTATTCAATTTATCGTTTCCCAATAGCAACAGAGCGGATGAGTGCATATAAAATACCGCCTAAGCCTCATAACGTCGTTGGATTAACTGTTTGACCGTACCTTACATAAGTGTTAAAGCAAGTAGTTAATAACATTGGCAGTAAGGCAAGTGTACCGGGCTTAACGCAGTGGTGAATATTGAAGTGATTCACTCGAGGTCAGGGTAAGTAAATTTACGTGCTGAGAATAGGGCGTGCTGGACGGCATTTGGTTGCATTTGTTAGGTTGAAAAATGTAAAACAATGGATGAAGGGAGTAGATTGGCGGCATGCAATAGTTAAGTGTGTGGGTGTTGTGGAATAACTGAGTTGGAGGGTGATGGTACGAGGTTGACATTGAGGTGCTGAAATAAGTGGCAGTTTGACAACTACTAGAGGCATATCGGGGCGCTCATAGCGAGGGTTTTCATTTCAGTGAAGAGCCTTAACCTGGGAATCATAAAGTTGTGTAAATGTGTTGACTTTCAAATCGTTTCTTTTCTCACTATATAGAAAAATCTATAAGCAATGTTGCGCTCTTCCTCTCCTCGTCTTTCCCACCTTCATCAGACTCTACCGTTTCCAGGCCTTGGACCCTGATACGCCCACTGCCCCCTCCTGTGTTCCTTTGGGTTCTGTCCCAAAGGGTGCCCCTCCTGGTTCTCTGTGGGGTTCCTTCTTTCTACTCGGTGTGTCATGTCTCCTGTGTCTTCTTCCTCGTCTCCCTCCGATCCTCCTCCTCATCCTTCTCCATCTATCGAGTCTCCGCGCCGGCTGTTGGTGGAGGCGGATGTCCATCGCTCTCCAAACGGCCGTCGTGTGGTCTCGTTCAGCTTCTCATTATGAGACGCTGGAGTCCGTTTCCCAGTACGTAGTCGCTGGGACACCTGTCTAAGTCAGAATTGTAAGCCTGGCTCCTCTCCTCCCTCGTCCCCGGCGGGTAAGAAGGCTTCGCTTTGTTCCTGTGCCCCTGCTTTTGGCTGTATTACTCCTTCCCCTCCCATTTCAGTGGTTGCGCCCCCTGTTCCTGCTATTGAGGTTTGTTTGGGCCCCGCTTCCCTCTCGGTTGGTGTTCTTGCTGAGGTGCGCTCCCCTCTATCTACTCCCCCCCCCTTCCTCCTCCTGTTCCTCCTCCGGACCCCGGCCGCCCACCTCTGGTCTGTTCTCCCGCTTCCTTCCCTCCGTCTTTGCTCAGTTTACCCATAGCCCCTGACCCGGACTTTGCTGACCCTGATCCCGAGCCTGATATTCTTTAACGTGCTGTGTTGCTCTTTCACCTTTGTTTCTTCCTTGTTCTCTGTTGTCTTTTCTCGTTTCGTCCAAGTATAATCTTGAATTGAACGTTCTATGTTTTTACGGCAATTTCCTGGAAGTCGGTTATAATTTCGCGGTTTTGGCCCCTTTGTGTCTGTCTCCAGGAGCTGATGCTTGGTGCTCGTCCTGGTCGTTTTCGTGGCTATTCGTTCCTCATCTTTACGTGGTACTGTTGTGGGGACCCGTTGCAGGCTGCTAATTCATGTGCTGTGTTGATTCGCGCTGATGTTCCCTTTGTCCGGTTATTTGTGCTTTCGCGTCTCCACTGTTGTGCAGCTCGTATCTGTTTTTGGGAAATGGTACAGTTTGTTCCATTTATCTCCCCCCGAGTGTGTCGCTTTCTGTTCCTGATTTGAAACACCACCTGGACTCCTTGCCGGAGCCTGTGCTCCTGCTTGGTGATTTAAATTGTCGTGATTGTGTTTTGGGTGATGTTCTGACGAATACCCGAGGTCGCCTTGTTGAGCCCTTTATCCTGTGTTCTTCCCTGTCTCCTGAATTTTGGTGAGGCCTTGGACTCTGGGACTCTTACCCTTTCCTGTCTTGATGTTTGTGGTTTTCTTCTCTTTACTTAGATTTCACGTGGCAGATTCTTGATGACCTCCATGGCAGTGATCATTTCCCCATCCTTGGTTCCTTTTTCTCCCTTCTCTTTCCTTCCCTAGGTGGCAGTTTGCTAAGGTGGACTTGAACCCATTTACCCTCAGTGCTGCTCTCTGACCTCTCCCTCGTGCTCTCCTCGTTTTTCATGAGTGTTCAACGCTGCCCTCCGCTCTATTCCTCGCTCTTCCTGTGTTGGTCCGCGGAAGTGCGTTCCCTGGTGGAATGCGGATTGTGCTCGGGCTGTCAGCTGTAAGCGTGCTGCCTGGAAGAGGCACCACCGTCGGCAGACGGGCGAATCTTTTGTTTCGGAAAGCGAGTGCGGTGGCCCGTAGGGCCATCCGTGAATGTTGGGTATCTTATGTCTCAACAAATACATTGGAAACTGCTGTGCCCCAGATGTGAAAGCGTATCCGGAAGCTAGCGGGCAAGTTCGTTTCTGATGTTTCACCGGTCCTTCACCTCGGTGGTACTGTTGTGGCGGACCCGTTGCAGGTCGCTTCTGAATTTTGTTCGCACTTTTCTTGTGTTAGCTGTGGTGTTCATGTTCCCCCAATGTTTCGTTCTTCTTAAACCTGTCCTTGAGTCTCGTCCTTTAGATTTCTGCACTCTTCTTCAGCTTCCGTATAATGATCCGTTCTCTCTGAACTTCGTTGTGGCGTGGCCCTCTGGGGTTCTACGGCGGCGGGCTGCAATGGTATTCATTGAGATGGTTCGCCATCTCCCTCCGTGCACGTCTCGGTATTTACTAAGTCTGTATAATGTGATATGGGAGTCGTCGTCAGTCTGTGAGGACTGGCTCGATGGCGTTGTCCTCCGTGTTTGGAAACCAGGGTGTGTGGGTACTTCCCCTAAGGACTTTCGGCCTATTGCTCTCACAAGTTGTCTGCAAATTCTTTGAACGTATGGTTCATGTTCGTCTGATGTGGTTCGTGGAACACCATCAGCTGCTCTCCCCTTTTGAAATTTTTTTCCGCAAGTGCCGCAGCACGAGAGATGTCCTGGTGAACTTTGAGGTCTATATTCGTAGTGCTTTTGCTGCGAAGACCTCCGTTGTTGCCGTCCTTTTTGACGTGGAAAAGGCTTACGACACGACTTTGCGATATCATAATCTGTCGCAGCTTCATTCTTTTGGCCTTCGTGGTAATCTCTCTCTTTCTCCGCAGCTTCCTGTCTCATTCCTTTCGGATGCGCCTTGGTACCGCGCTCTATGCCTCTTTTCAGCAATACGAAGGTGTGCCCCAGGGCATGGTTCTGAGCACTACTCTTGTTGTGGTTGCCCTCAATGGTGGTCTTTTCTCTGTTCGTTCCGGTGTGTTCTCCGCTCTCTGTCGATGATCTTAGCCTTTGGTGTGAGGGTGATGAATCGCCTCTCGTTCAGCGCGGGCTTCAAGTTTAGGATGTGATAGTTGCAGGGATCGGGCACTTGCCTCTTGGTTTAAGTTTATTCTGGCCCTGCATTTACGTTTAGTTTCCTGTGCCAATTTCCTGCATTTTACATCGCTCTTGCTGCATGTTTTTACGTTACTGGTTTACAATTGTTTGTTTAACTTATGCTTCACCTTTAAGTTAAGTCAGCTAGGATGTCGTAGACGCTGTCTTCGGGCCTCACGCGTCTCCCTTTAAGTTTATCTTGGACTCGTAATATGATTAGTTCCTTCAGCAAATTATTGCTTGTTATGCATTGCTTAAGTGCATGTCATTTTACTTACCGTTTTACCTTTATACTTGTTTTGTTGATTTTGTCATTAAGTACTGACAGCTAGACGGTACCAGTTTCGTTTATCAGTACCAGTAAACGTTGCCAGTGGTTTTGTATGCCCGGTGTAGCCCGAAAGAATGTGCAGCCTCCCAGGCCGCTGGTTTAACGAGACATTTTGTCTGCCCAGTGCCTTCGTTCAGGGGTTGATGTCCGGCCGATGTTGTTCCTGCGACGTGTCACTGTGTTCTAGCGGCCGATGCTCGGTTGGGTCTGTTGCAGCTGGTCCAGCCGTCTGCCCTAGCGTCCGAGCCGCCACTCTTCCTACGTTGTTGCTCAATTTTGGTGTGCAGCTGCTGCAGCAGCAGCTGTTGGTGATCCGGCTGCCGTGGGTACAGCTGTTGCTGTCCCAGCTTGCTGGTGTTGAGGTGGAACATGGTCGAGCTGGTGTCGTTTCAGCGGTTGTTGGATCAGCTCCCATGCTACGGCTGAAGTTGTTCCTGATGTTCCAGTTGAAGCGGTCGCAACTGATAATGCCCATCGTACTGCGTTCCAGCTCCCAAGGGTCGAGCTGCCGAGGCGCCAGCCCCCCGAAGTATCAGCAGAAGCGTTCCAGCCGAGGTTGTGCCTATTAGCACTCGTGTGAGTTTATTGTATTTGATTGTAATTTATTTTAGGCTCATGCATTAATCCCGTTTTGTGTAAAGAGTTAGATCATGCCCCAAATAATGCTTGAATATGTTTTGGAGTCGCACTTCCCTTACTGCTGCAGTTTCCCCCTTGGCCCGTTGCCGCTAATTTTGTATCTAAGGCAGCGGGCGAAGATAGTGTCCATTCCCTTGTTGGCTCCCAGGTTCTATATGGTCCGTAAGTGTCTTGGAGTTGGACTTGTAGTTATAAGCGAAGTTTTCCCTGGTGGGCAGTTGCCAGTATTTATTTATGTTTTGCAGATGTTGATGCACCAGTTGCCAATGTCCAGCTGCAGGTGTTCCAGGTGATGTTGAGAGGCCGGATTTTAGTTTCCATTTGGCAAGTGTTGTTTGTTAAGCCGTTATTGACCACTAGTGTTCGTGTTGTGCATGCTACGTTATTGTTGGTTTGTTAGGGTTTGCCTGCTTACTTCCTCCTCCCCAGTGTGGGACATTTAGTTATTTATCTATTTATACAGTTGCTACTGTATCATATTACTACTTAAAATCTTTATTAGGTCCGGGTTTTAATCGCGTTACTTCTACCCTCCCTCTTGAGGTTATCTTGAGATGACTTCGGGGCTTTAGTGTCCCCGCGGCCCGGTCCTCGACCAGGCCTCCACCCCCAGGAAGCAGCCCGTGACAGCTGACTAACACCCAGGTACCTATTTTACTGCTAGGTAACAGGGGCATAGGGTGAAAGAAACTTTGCCCAATGTTTCTCGCCGGCGCCTGGGATCGAACCCAGGATCACAAGTCCAGCGTGCTGTCCGCTCGGCCGACCGGCTCCCCCCTCTGCTTTACTTGTTATCGTTTTCTCTGGCATTTTTCGCCATGCCCTCAGTCGGCCCCGTACTAGGCCCACTAGCTGGGCGAGTCCGTTACGCCCTTAGCCGGGACCCCTGTGGAGCCCTTAGCTGGGCGGGCCCGACCTGTTAGCGGGGTAATGGTCGTGCGACGTATTAGTTTGGAATGAGTATTTTGTGCTTTTCCCTATCCTTCTAGTGCTTATGTGTGTCTTTTACATTTTCTTAGTGAAAAGTTGGTTATATTTGTAAGATAGTATTTATTGGTTGTGAATGTATGTGTGTGTATGTATATATTCATTAGTTGGTATACTAATGTATAGTACTGTCATTCAATTGTTATTTCCATCTCTTCCGTAGTAATTTATTATGAGTCTGGGAGTTTGTTGACTATTTTCGTCGTTATTTCTGTGAATTTACTATATTAAGTACAATAATTATTTGACATTTACGGATCCCTAGCCTTCCTGGTGTCCATTTGTTTTGCTCAGATCTTGAAGTTCTTGGGGTACTGCTGCTCGCAGATGGTCATTGACACTCAGACTAAACTGATTTACGCCTCTGAAGGAAGTTTGTTAGGCTAACTATTCAGCTGTAACATGCTTCCGGATGCCAACATACAATGGAGATGACTGTAACGGACTCGGTTACCATCCTTATGTGTCACTGTGGACGCAAGCATGTTGCAGTTGGGCCTTAAGACGTGTTTCTTCATATTTCAAATATGGTTTTATGTATATATTGATTTGATATTATATACATAGTGGTCATATAAATATTTAATGTTTGGTTTTTATAATATTCTGTTGGAATAGTTTGAAATGAATGATTGCTTGGTAGATGCCTCCCCCTGGATTAACTTGTGCCCTTGACCCAGATACGGTAACTGCAAAACCCCCACCCTGTTTTTTTACTTGTCTTGGTTTTTCCCGCTAAAGTTCTGCTCAGGTTGGTAGTTACGTTACTTCGCTACCGATTAGTTTCCTGGAAGATGTTTTTCTCTTCCTTTCCCCTCTAGTCACTCCTTTCCCCTGTGCCAGTGTTCATTTTCAGAGTTTTCCCACAGGGTATCACCCTGGCTTTATCCATTAATGACACTTGCCCAGTTCGGTTCCGGAAATGTCCCCCTCCTCTTAGAAACTAATTCCAGCAGTAGCCTTAAAGGGTAGGTACGTTGCCCGTCACGTTGATAGTGCATGGCCGTTTCTGGCCACCCTTACTGCGTTACTACTTGCAGAACCGACTACGGAAGGCGCACAAGGTACACCATTGATGAACAAGGAAAAGGGATGGAGGGTGAGGGCAGACTACTGCGGCCATGAGGTCGACACATTCCTAGTTACAGCGGGCGGGCGCCGCGTTCGCCCTTTGGGGGTTCAGCGCCGCTGGCCGTCGCGGCATTGGGGGTTCGGGCGGAGGACCCCCAAAGTGATAAGCCTGGTGATAGCTAAGAAATATTTCCATGAATTGTAATTAGTGTAATTAAAATAATGCAACTTTCATGTACTATCTATAGATGTATTTATTAATTTAAATTGATTTGTACTTCATGATAATTATAAAGAATAATCAATATAATTATTCCTTAATAGTTTATTGTTATGCACTAGTCAATAATTAATCATCGTAATGAGGAAATATTTGTAATGAATCAAATAATTTGTTTTATTATATAATGATTAGCTGTGTATAATATATACGAAAATAATATATTATTGAGCATTATAAAATAAATAAGTCCCCAATGTGAGGACGTTTTGCTTCAACCTCAGAAAATGAAGTATCTAGTAGTGTTAGGGTTCAACGTTCTGTAGTGACAAATGTTGAAACAGGTTAAAGTCAAACGGTATAGAGAAATAGCATAGATCTGAATAATACCTTTGATGTATGTAACATTTCTCCTCACTTGCACAGGAGTTGGTGTGTTGGGAGAGTGTCTCTGAGAAAATCACGTATCTCACGGAATGTGACGGACAGGGTAAAGATAGTTTTATTATGGATCGTGGAAGAAAGTAGTGAGGATATTATCTTTGAGGGTTAATGTGTTAAAATTTAGTGCGGTGGATGCAGACTATTATAGTCTTAGATAGTATATTACCCTGAAATGTTAAATTGGATTGTTGTATTTGTAATGAGTGAATTTGTGCGGCGGGAATGGGTATAAATACCCTAAGGTACTCTTGAGTTTGTGTTAATATTATTTTGCTAACTTGTCTCAAATAACATGAAGTTTAATACATAAATAAGTTGACACTGGAAAGAACTCGAAGTTTGTATAGTTATTAATAAGTAGTGTACCACTGAAAAACATTTTTATGTGTGATATCATTATGATAGACAGTATACCCCGGAGCTACAACAATTTTGCCCCAAGAGTCTAACATTTATATGCTGTGCTTACTATATTAAACCTGATTCTTGTATTGTGTATTTGTAGACACTGAATTTGTGCGGCCCCTTGAGGTTCTGCAAGTAGAGGGGAGTAGAAATACCGTAAACTACTGTATCCCTTTGAGATGTATTTATTATTGTCTCAATAAACATACTTGAAATGAGGTTTGTTTTGTGTTTAATTTTTTGGTAAGAACCTTTTTTTTTTTTTAGTGACAGGTGTGTATATTATATATAAACCTACTTTGATGGAAATTGAACGTTGTGTGAAGATTGGAAAGCAATCGCTGAAGACCTTTCGGAGATCATGTATCTTCAATATTGAAGAATATTCTTCAATATTGAAGAATATTCTTTAATAATGGAGAATATTCTTCAATATTGAAGAACTTTCTTCAAGAATATTCTCCAATATTGAACAATATTCTTCAATATTGAAGAATATTCTTCAATATTGAAGAATATTCTTCAATATTGAAGAATATTCTTCAATATTGAAGAATATTCTTCAATATTGAAGAATATTCTTCAATATTGAAGAATATTCTTCAATATTGAAGAATATTCTTCAATATTGAAGAATATTCTTCAATATTGAAGAATATTCTTCAATATTGAAGAATATATCTTCTTCAATATTGAAGAATATTCTTCAATATTGAAGAATATTCTTCAATATTGAAGAATATTCTTCAATATTGAAGAATATTCTTCAATATTGAAGAATATTCTTCAATATTGAAGAATATTCTTCAATATTGAAGAATATTCTTCAATATTGAAGAATATTCTTCAATATTGAAGAATATTCTTCAATATTGAAGAATATTCTTCAATATTGAAGAATATTCTCTTCAATATTGAAGAATATTCTTCAATATTGAAGAATATTCTTCAATATTGAAGAATATTCTTCAATATTGAAGAATATTCTTCAATATTGAAGAATATTCTTCAATATTGATTCTTATTCTTCAATATTGAAGAATATTCTTCAATATTATTCTTCAAGAATATTCTTCAATATTGAAGAATATTCTTGAAGAATATTCTTCAATATTGAAGAATATTCTTCAATATTGAAGAATATTCTTCAATATTGAAGAATATTCTTCAATATTGAAGAATATTCTTCAATATTGAAGAATATTCTTCAATATTGAAGAATATTCTTCAATATTGAAGAATATTCTTCAATATTGAAGAATATTCTTCAATATTGAAGAATATTCTTCAATATTGAAGAATATTCTTCAATATTGAAGAATATTCTTCAATATTGAAGAATATTCTTCAATATTGAAGAATATTCTTCAATATTGAAGAATATTATTCTTCAATATTGAAGAATATTCTTCAATATTGAAGAATATTCTTCAATATATGAAGAATATTCTTCAATATTGAAGAATATTCTTCAATATTGAAGAATATTCTTCAATATTGAAGAATATTCTTCAATATTGAAGAATATTCTTCAAATATTCTTCAATATTGAAGAATATTCTTCAATATTGAAGAATATTCTTCAATATTGAAGAATATTCTTCAATATTGAAGAATATTCTTCAATATTGAAGAATATTCTTCAATATTGAAGAATATTCTTCAATATTGAAGAATATTCTTCAATATTGAAGAATATTCTTCAATATTGAAGAATATTCTTCAATATTGAAATATTCTTCAATATTGAAGATATTCTTCAATATTGAAGAATATTCTTCAATATTGAAGAATATTCTTCAATATTGAAGAATATTCTTATTGAAGAATATTCTTCAATATTGAAGAATATTATTGAAGAATATTCTTCAATATTGATATTGAATATATTCTTCAATATTGAAGAATATTCTTCAATATTGAAGAATATTCTTCAATATTCAATATTGAAGAATATTCTTCAATATTGAAGAATATTCTTCAATATTGAAGAATATTCTATTGAAGAATATTCAATATTGAAGAATATTCTTCAATATTGAAGAATATTCTTCAATATTGAAGAATATTATTCAATATTATTCTTCAATATTGAAGAATATTCTTCAATATTGAAGAATATTCTTCAATATTGAAGAATATTCTTCAATATTGAAGAATATTCTTCAATATTGAAGAATATTCTTCAATATTGAAGAATATTCTTCAATATTGAAGAATATTCTTCAATATTGAAGAATATTCTTCAATATTGAAGAATATTCTTCAATATTGAAGAATATTCTTCAATATTGAAGAATATTCTTCAATATTGAAGAATATTCTTCAATATTGAAGAATATTCTTCAATATTGAAGAATATTCTTCAATATTGAAGAATATTCTTCAATATTGAAGAATATTCTTCAATATTGAAGAATATTCTTCAATATTGAAGAATATTCTTCAATATTGAAGAATATTCTTCAATATTGAAGAATATTCTTCAATATTGAAGATTATTCTTCAATATTGAAGAATATTCTTCAATATTGAAGAATATTCTTCAATATTGAAGAATATTCTTCAATATTGAAGAATATTCTTCAATATTGAAGAATATTCTTCAATATTGAAGAATATTCTTCAATATTGAAGAATATTCTTCAATATTGAAGAATATTCTTCAATATTGAAGAATATTCTTCAATATTGAAGAATATTCTTCAATATTGAAGAATATTCTTCAATATTGAAGAATAATATCTTCAATATTGAAGAATATTCTTCAATATTGAAGAATATTCTTCAATATTGAAGAATATTCTTCAATATTGAAGAATATTCTTCAATATTGAAGAATATTCTTCAATATTGAAGAATATTCTTCAATATTGAAGAATATTCTTCAATATTGAAGAATATTCTTCAATATTGAAGAATATTCTTCAATATTGAAGAATATTCTATTATTTCTTCAATATTGAAGAATATTCTTCAATATTGAAGAATATTCTTCAATATTGAAGAATATTCTTCAATATTCTTCAATATTGAAGAATATTCTTCAATATTGAAGAATATTCTTCAATATTGAAGAATATTCTTCAATATTGAAGAATATATTTGAAGAATAATATTGAAGAATATTCTTCAATATTGAAGAATATTCTTCAATATTGAAGAATATTCTTCAATATTGAAGAATATTCTTCAATATTGAAGAATATTCTTCAATATTGAAGAATATTCTTCAATATTGAAGAATATTCTTCAATATTGAAGAATATTCTTCAATATTGAAGAATATTCTTCAATATTGAAGAATATTCTTCAAGAATATTCTTCAATAATATTCTTCAATATTGAAGAATATTCTTCAATATTGAAGAATATTCTTCAATATTGAAGAATATTCTTCAATATTGAAGAATATTCTTCAATATTGAAGAATATTCTTCAATATTGAAGAATATTGAAGAATCAATATTGAAGAATATTCTTCAAGAATATTCTTCAATATTGAAGAATATTCTTCAATATTGAAGAATATTCTTCAATATTGAAGAATATTCTTCAATATTGAAGAATATATTGAAGAATATTCAATATTGAAGAATATTCTTCAATATTGAAGAATATTCTTCAATATTGAAGAATATTCTTCAATATTGAAGAATATTCTTCAATATTGAAGAATATTCTTCAATATTGAAGAATATTCTTCAATATTGAAGAATATTCTTCAATATTGAAGAATATTCTTCAATATTGAAGAATATTCTTCAATATTGAAGAATATATTGAAGAATATTCTTCAATATTGAAGAATATTCTTCAATATTGAAGAATATTCTTCAATATTGAAGAATATTCTTCAATATTGAAGAATATTCTTCAATATTGAAGAATATTCTTCAATATTATTCTTCAATATTGAAGAATATTCTTCAATATTGAAGAATATTCTTCAATATTGAAGAATATTCTTCTTCATATTGAAGAATATTCTTCAATATTGAAGAATATTCTTCAATATTGAAGAATATTCTTCAATATTGAAGAATATATTCAATATTGAAGAATATTCTTCAATATTGAAGAATATTCTTCAATATTGAAGAATATTCTTCAATATTGAGAATATTCTTCAATATTGAAGAATATTCTTCAATATTGAAGAATATTCTTCAATATTGAAGAATATTCTTCAATATTGAAGAATATTCTTCAATATTGAAGAATATTCTTCAATATATTGAAGAATATTCTTCAATATTGAAGAATATTCTTCAATATTGAAGAATATTCTTCAATATTGAAGAATATTCTTCAATATTGAAGAATATTCTTCAATATTGAAGAATATTCTTCAATATTGAAGAATATTCTTCAATATTGAAGAATATTCTTCAATATTGAAGAATATTCTTCAATATTGAAGAATATTCTTCAATATTGAAGAATATTCTTCAATATTGAAGAATATTCTTCAATATTGAAGAATATTCTTCAATATTGAAGAATATTCTTCAATATTGAAGAATATTCTTCAATTGATATTCTTCAATATTGAAGAATATTCTTCAATATTGAAGAATATTCTTCAATATTGAAGAATATTCTTCAATATTGAAGAATATTCTTCAATATTGAAGAATATTCTTCAATATTGAGAATAATATTCAGAATAATATTGAAGAATATTCTTCAATATTGAAGAATATTCTTCAATATTGAAGAATTCTTCAATATTCAATATTGAATATTGAAGAATATTCTTCAATATTGAAGAATATTCTTCAATATTGAAGAATATTCTTCAATATTGAAGAATATTCTTCAATATTGAAGAATATTCTATTGAATATTGAAGAATATTCTTCAATATTGAAGAATATTCTTCAATATTGAAGAATATTCTTCAATATTGAAGAATATTCTTCAATATTGAAGAATATCTTCAATATTGAATATTGAATATTCTTCAATATTGAAGAATATTCTTCAATATTGAAGAATATTCTTCAATATTGAAGAATATTCTTCAATATTGAAGAATATTCTTCAATATTGAAGAATATTCTTCAATATTGAAGAATATTCTTCAATATTGAAGAATATTCTTCAATATTGAAGAATATTCTTCAATATTGAAGAATATTCTTCAATATTGAAGAATATTCTTCAATATTGAAGAATATTCTTATTGA